CTGTAATTTTCTCGTGACTTATGAACTGAACAAATGAACCTGCTTCTACACCAGAGTAATCACCGAGTAGATATTACTCATCATTTGCTATCTCGTTGCCTTTTGCATGATGGATAATTTTAGAAAGAAGGCCGGGGGGCGGGGGGGGACTGGGAGGAAAAACAAAGTGAAAGAGAGATGGAAACGGGAAAGAGATGTATCTGTCTGTTCTGTAAGCCTGCAGTTTGTTGAGGAGTAGTGATGTCTGATGTCCAGTTATCAAAGTGATCATTGGACATCAGGCATCACAAGGTGCACTGACGTCACAGAAGCTAACCCAATCATTGAGAAGAACAGGTTCTGAGGATGCCTACAGGTTTTTCCTGAGCTCAGGTCTTCATTTCTGTCATAAGTGTCCAAACATAAAATCATGTTTAGCAGTTCAAATCCCACCCCACCCCCCAAAATAAATTGGTGTTCACTGCCTCCTGACACACTGGCAGTACCCATCTAAGGCCCCGGCCACACGTGCCGGAAAACGCGGGGGGAAGGTGTGGCTATTTGCGCTATCACATTCTTATCCGCCATTATGTGATCAGATGTGAAGGTGGCACACTGGGGTTTTGTCCTTCGGCGCGCGCTGCAAAGAGGGCGGCCGGAAGGAATAGGTGCGCACCGGTGCGCGATCACACTGAACAAGTCCATTAGCAGCCCGTGGCAAACCATTGGCTAGTAGATATTTTCAGGTACTTCTTAACTGCACATCTTCGGTGGCACGCCACAGGGTTGGCCACGGGTGCGCTACGCTTGCCAGATGTTGCGGTGTGATCGCGCCCCACACACTCATTCTCTCTCTCTCTCCCTCCCTCCCTCTCTCATTTTTTGTGCCAGCATCAAGAGGTTCTCTTTGTGATGTAGCCAGCGCTCGGAATTTTATGTTCACCTACTGTCCCAATTAATGGATAAGGGCCACTTGCTGTCTTTCTGCTTGATTCCTCACAGACGACTGCTCTGCCTTCTCTGGGGCCCACTAAACATTTTGGGGACGTGGGTGGAGCCAGGTAGAGCTTTTGCCAAGCAAGGCTTTTGATTGGCTATTGGAGATTTGATTGGCTCTGCAAATGTTTAAGAAATGTTGCTTTAGCAGCTGCTGCCACCCACAGCACAAGGATCCACGCCGTGTTACTAAAGTTAACCTGTGGCAATCATTTTGTGGCTGGCTCCACCTCTGGTGGCGGCCATTTTGTGGTGGCCATCTTGTTCCTGTGCCTACCGTGCCGTGTCAGAATTCCAAATTTACGCGCAGGCTCAAAGAAGGTTCTGGACCCCTGCCGTAGGCTTTCCAAGGCAGGAGATGTTCAGAGGTGGTTTGCCATTGCCTGACTCTGTGTCACAACCCTGGACTTCCTTGGCGGTCTCCCATCCAAATACTAACCAGGGATGACCCTGCTTCGCTTCTGAGATTGGATGTGACTGGGCTAGCCTGGGCCGCCCAGCTCAGGGCTTTATGCTATTTTAACACCCTTTTAATGACGTGTGTACATAATGCACGTTTGGACCTTGATGGAGTCTGGCTTCTGTTTCAAATGAGATGACCCTCCATTTTTGTTTCTTCCTTTTCAGAATGTAAGCGCCGCAGTCTAACACCTACAGACATCCAACTGTGACCCTGACAGTCTTCACCATCAAAGTCTAGCATGATAGGGTCATGCCAGTTTGGTGTAGTGATTATGAGCGCGGACTCTAATCTGGGAGAACTAGATTTGAGTTCCTGTTCCTCCACATGCAGCTGCTAGTGTGACCTTGGGTCAGTTACAAGTTCTTTCAGAGCTGTTCTCTCAAGGGCAGTTCTCGAAAGAGCTCTCTCAGCCCCACCTACTTTACAGGGTGTCTGTTGTGGGGAGGGGAAGGGAAAGGAGATCGTAAGCCGCTCTGAGATGCCTTTAGGTAGTGAAGGGTGGGATATAAATCCAATCTCCTCCTCCTCCTCCTCCTCTTCTTCTTCTTCTCAAGCTGTAGCAGCCCTAATAGCTCAGAATGGCCCACATTCATCAGAGCTTGGAAGCTAAGCAGGGATGGTAATTAAATGGGGAGCCACCAAGGAAGAGTGGGGCTGGTACGCAGAGGCAGGGCAATGGCAAAACACCTCCTCTCTTGCCTTCAAACCCCCAGGCGTCACCCCATCGCATCCCTACCGAGCTCCTTCCTTCCCTGAAACCCTGCCTTCTCCAGGCACTGCCCCCGAACCTCCAGCAATCCCCCCAGTCAGAGCTGGGAGCCCCAACAGTGGTCTATTTACAGCCCCGTCCTCCAGCTTGGGAGCTGCTCGTGTGACATGCTCTCCTGCTACAGCGCGTGAGAGTGACTGATATGGCCACATGAGGAGGGTCGATCGATTTGGTCTCTCTCATGGAATCAGCACCCTGGATGATTATTGGGAGGAAAACCCCAGCATCTAGACTCATAGAATCCTAGAGTTGGAAGGGACCTCCAGGGTCATCTAGTCCAACCCCCTGCACCAGGCAGGAAATGCACAAATACCTCCCTCCACCTCCACTGATCGCTGTTCCACGCCCAGAAGATGACCAAAAAAAACCCCTCCAGGATCCCCAGCCAAACTGGCCTGGAGAAAAACTGCTTCCTGACCCCCAAGTGGCGATCAGCATTTCCCTGGGTGTGCAAGAAAGGGCCACAAGAACTGAGCACTGAGGCGACCCGCTCACTTAACAAAGTAGTTGGAAAGTGATTCAGCAAAGATTTAGCTTTATTCAACAACTCGAACACAAGTCCACCACGGATCAACATCTGATAGCCAGAACAGCTTTTGCATTAAAGCTGTTCCCTTTTATAATAGAGTTTAAAATGTTGAAGTAAATATAAAAAAAATGTAAAGGGAAAATGGGTAGAGCACTGCGGGAAGCCACTACTAAGGGAGGGGGGGAAGGGAAATAAGGATATTTGAAAAGTGTAAGTAAATGTTAAATGTGATACAATATCCAAAAATAAAAGTTTTGTGATGAAAAAAAAGGGAATTAGATAAGCATATGGAGCAGAGGTCCATCAGTGGCTATTAGCCACAAGGTATAGATTTGGGGCTCTGGGGCAAGTGATGCTCTGTCTTCTTGGTGCTTGGGGGGGTCAACAGTGGGAGGGCTTCTAATGTCCTGGCCCCACTGGTGGACCACCTGATGGCACTGGTATTTCTGGCCACTGTGTGATACAAAGTGTTGGACTGGATGGGCCTTTG